TTGTCTTTAGCACAAGCATTGTTCTGCGCACAATTCAAAGGATCTGAAGCAGTTTTGTGCATTATTATTGAATAGCTGTAAGTGAAATTACTTAATCACTTACAGGAAAGGTAAAGCCTAGAACAAAGGGCTTTTATTATCACAGCTTAAAAATAAATCTAATATAGGAAATAAATTGAAGATGATTTCTTTTTAATTCTATGGTATGTATCTGCTCGGCTGTACAGAAAAATTGGATGTTGCAGAAACTCAGATTAGAACTACACAGATAAACAAATTAAATATAAGAAATGTTAATGTAGACATTTTTTCTTGATGTTTTACATTTCCTACAATGTTTTACATTTCCTACTGTAATGACGGTACACCTCTGTCATTACACCACTAATTTTCTGTACTGTGTTTAGAAGTACTATCTTAACCACATTATTTCTTCATATCCTTGATTTTAATTCTTTAATTTAATGAATATATATTATCAATCAACGGGCAATCCTACAATCCTGTCCTGTGACGTGTTTCACATGTTTTATGAAGAAGGTAAAACAATTTAGTAGGCTGCATTGAACATCTCCTCAAGGTAGAATCACAGGAAGATCACAACTGAGAAAAGGGGCTTGTGCTGAAAACATTGTTCTGGGGAGATAAATATGTTTGTACAGAAGAGCAGGTTTTCAATCATGTCACTCCTTATTTGTTCTCACTGAGCTACTATGTATTGAGTTCTTCCGAAAATCTGATCCAGATCATGGGCTTTAAGAACTTGGAGATGTGATCTAGGAACTTCTGAAACTCCGAGATCCTGAGAAGTCTTGACTACCTTCAGTTTATACTGAAATGACCTTTTATGCCACATTAAGCACTTTTCAGGTCCCTTGGGATTCCTAGGTAGAATCATCATTAAGAACTGAGGTAGAGGAAAGTCAGCAAGTCCTATGGTAGTACAATATACTTGGAAAATTAGGATTTAGTGGCCAGAGCTAATGCAATGAAAAGATTTCCAGTCATATAAAAGAATATTTGACTTAATGAAAGGAAGTAGCAGCTCTAGCATTTATCGCATTTACTTCTCTTAAATTTTAGTCTATGCTGCAGACAGAGAAAGTCCCTTTCGTTTCTTCCCTTCTTCAGACAAGCTGTTAAAGATTGTAGGCCTTCTCCTTCCCAGATCCTTGTTTTCTAGTTAGACAATGCTAACTGTCATTATCTTCTGCACCTTAGTCTACTGCAAACCAAGAAATGTATGATGGAACAGAGACAGACTTCACCAATTACAGACGGAGAAAGACAAAGACTTACATGCATTAAATAGGCTAATTATAAACCACTGCAATTATAATGATAAAGGTGATTTTCATGCTACCACCTATCATGTGATGTATTTCAGTACTGTAAACGAAATAGTACTTTTGCCATTACGCAAGGCAGTGATGAAACATCACGTGAAATAGCACATAAAGTTCTGACCAAAGGAGTTTTGGTTTTTTTAGTCAAGCATAATTAATTCTGATATACAACCGCATTCTACGAATACATTTGAAAGTAAATACTGGAATGTATTAAAGATGTCAGGATTTCAGACTTGACATCTGTAGGCTGCTTGAAAGCAGAAGTGTGAAATTATGAAACAGTTTCCAATAGCAGGTATGGGGTAAAATAACTTGCTTGTCTTATCTTAGCATTTGATAAGGTTAAAAACAGGATTGCTACACAGTTGTTTAATTGCTTCAGCACAGGGATCAGGTCTTATTTTAGGGGGTGCAAAATATCCTGCCCTCATCTTCAGCTGCTCTTCCAGAAGAGCATGGGTTTCCCAGCTTTTGTGCCATAGTACGCAGATGTAATGGATATCCAAGACCCCACTACAGATCCGCATTTTGAACCTTGAACTACACTTAATGTCATGCTGTAATTGCAGGCCACATCTCAGTGCCTTCATTTATACAGAAATGTTTTCAGTAATGGCTATCTTGAAAACGACCTTTCTGTCCTAGCAGCTTGGCCAGCTTCCTGTCTGCAGAGACACTTGAAGCTCATCAAGCGGTTGGTGCAACCTTAATAATTCTTAGCCGATATTTTGAATGTTTTATCACAGTGTGCTGTCTTGAAAGCACAATGTGAGAATTCCAACATATTCAAAAAATGGCATTAAATATTGTGTCCAAAAGGAGTCAAAGAAAAGAAAATTATACTGGTAATCAGTCATTTTTTATCAGCCAGTAACGTTGGATTTATGCTCCTAGACTGATGAGACATGAAACACCTCTCTTTCATGCAATTTTAAGTGCTCTACAGCTTCATGGCAAAATCAGAAAAATTGTTACTGATGAGTTTACCTGAGAAAGAAGTTATTAAGCTAAGTAGTTACCTTGAAAGGACATTCTAGCCTTTCATTTATCTACTTCACCTGCATACAAAATAGATATTACTAACCCAGGTCTTAACAAGACAAGCCAAATGCTAGTTTTAGAGAGGGCTACAAATAAGTGCTTTTGTGGTTAAAATAGATTTTGGATGTGATCCAAAAATGTATTGCTCATTGGTCATAGCATCTAATTCAGTGAGGACTTCTAGCTTCACTTTCCTCCCTTTATTTTGTACGATGCATATTAAACATAGAAGCCTAATCCAAAGATGAGAATTCAACTAATTGTGGCTGTAGAGAAGAATCATGCTGCCTTTTGTTTGTTTTCTACAGCTAGGAACCCCACATTTTCCTCTTCAGAGAGGAAGGGGTAGTCGGTGCTGCTGCCCTCTCTCAGCTTGCCGTATGCTGACTGGGGATAACCCCTCCCAGGTAGGATTTGGTTCTGGGCTACAATTAGCTGAGAAGTTGAAATGCTGTCTCTTTGCATTATTAGTAGGTATTGTCACCACCAGCCAGCCTGTAAGACATAGGCACCATTCTGCCATCTCCTCAGTGAATGTGACCAGATTAAGTTATTTTTGGGATGGAGTTTCACTACAGATGTGCTTAAGACAACTGAAGCACACACTTAGGAGATTTATGGGCAGTGATGCCTAATAAGCAGAATTTAGTTGATGGCCAAGATAGCGAGCCCTGCCAAAATGGTAGCACATCTAAACATGTGCATCAGCAGAAGGCATTTAACCTATCTTCTTTTCAATGTAAGGGGTTTTTTTTTGTGATTTGTCATTCTAACTTTTGAAATTGTTGCCTATACCCCACCGAAGTAATTCTGAGGATCAGGACGCCTAAAAAGATGTACATTTCTATGCATAACTTTTTAGTGCCTAACTAGTCTTTGCACTCATATTTTTCAGTTACTAATACTTTATAATAATAAAAATACCTGAAATAAGTTTTTCTTTTCTGAGTAGAAGCAAGGTGTCATCAGAAACTACGAATCAAGCAGGTATATTTTTCTAGAATAAATACCTGTATGGCTATTTTAGCTGTTGTATTAAGAAGGCCATGTCTGGAAACTGAGCTCCATGTTGTAGTTAATCATCCTTAAAGAGAGAAATAACCTTTTGGCAATGCGCAATCTAATAATCACATTCTCTCCATAGTCCTGCACAGCTAAGTGTTGCTAGTTCTTAGTTTATAAATTAAAACAAAATTGCATGAAAGATAATCCATGTATAGCAAATACTTCTCATTTATGGCAAACGTCTACACCTCACAAATGAAGCCTGGACCTGCATAGCAAGATAAATGAAAATTTTAATAATGTCTCACACCTACATTCATGCATGATAAGTTATACTAGAGGCCTTATTTTTAACAGAATTTGCAAATATGTTGTGATTAGTCCTTATTAACTTTACTAGAAATACTTTTGAAGTTCTTCTTTGTTTCTTTTTTAAGCTTTTCCTCTGGTTTCAGAATACTGGAGCTGAGCTTGGCTGGTCCTCATAAGGTGAACCTGGGTCTGTCTGCCTTATTGCTCGTCCTTACACAATTCCCACAGGACAAAAATCTTTCACTGAGCAGAGTACAAGCCTTTCTTTCACTGACAATTGTAAATGCTTGCATGTAAAGCTGGACTGAACTTGAATGTGTGGAAGTTCATAACCTAACTTTTCATGATTTACCCACTTTTATGACATAATTAAGAGAGTTTATTGTAATCTGATTTTTATCTATGAAGTCTGAACAACTGTTGAATACTGGTAATAAAAAAAGGAGTGACTGGCACTTCTTAGCATGAAAATGGAAAGCAATTTTTATTTCAAACTTATTGAGCTCAGACAGCAAATTAAAGTACACCGACATTTTACCGACTGTAAAACTTACAAACTTAGCGCGGCTGCAGTTTTAACACTATCCTGTGAACAACCATTCCATTTTTAAAAACCTCTGAGCCTGCAGTAGATTTGATATATCTCTCCACAAATCTTATCTATGGTAGGATTAATAAATTTGGCACTAACAGCCTGAAAGTATGCAATTGCGGAATAACATCTGGGCCTGGTGCCTTGCGTCTGTTTACCTATGGCTGGACATGAAATGGAGACAAATACTTGTCCCTTTTCTGACTCTCCAGTGAAGTGTGAATCTCACCAGTGCCAGAATGCCTTGGGCTGTGCTTAACAACCAAGTGGTGTCTCAGTAAGAGATTAATGCACAGAAATTGCACAACACCTGTTACTCACTGAAATACACTAAAACCCACCAGGGCAGAAGACTTACTCACACCCAGCAGCTGCATAATTGCACGTGCAGAAACCTTCAGGGGGGCTAAGTACAAGGAGATATTAGATCTCCAGTCCTGAGCTACTTCAGGATACTGTAAAAGAACTCAGGCATAAAAAGAGAGAATTTTAAAGGCATTACATAGGGACTTCAGAAACTTCCTTACTTTTTTGCTCCAATCTGGTCTGACTAAGCTTTTCCACATGAGGGTAGGGAACAAGCTGGTGACAAAGAAGAGCGGGTGCTTTTGCATTTGGAGAAGGGGACAGAAGGGGTCTGCAGTGCAGTGGTCTAATTTGTTTGTCTGGGACTAGGGAAGGTGCATGGGCATCCACAAGCTGCTGCTGTTACAGCAGTAAAATGAATCGTAATGTTCCAACTCTCCAGAAATCAAATCATTTTTTGGGCTCTCTGTCCAGGTCTATCCCATGCATGGGAATAGTAGCATATCCTGAGGTCTGGAAAAGCTGCAGCCCCAGTATCTCTCCAGAGTGATCCTGCAGTCAAAGTATGGGTATGGATTTGAGAGATCAAGGGAATGGTGTGATACACAAACTAGACTTTTCTGTTTTGTGTGAAACATCTAGAATAAATTTACTGCTTGAGTGTCAGGATTTGAAACTGAGATTCTAGGTCAGGGGGCATCTTCTCTAAAGATCTCTCTTTTTAATAAAAGGAACTAATAGATAGATCTCAGTCTTTCAAAGCGTTGTCAGCACAGTGATAGGGAGTGGCTTTCTCCCTCCGCTGCTGTATACTTTATGGAGAGAGAAGAGTGAGAACTGACCATTCTGAATAGGTATTATGATTTTGAATCTTGATTCACTTTGCCTAAGTCTCTGTGTTAAGCTAAAAAGCAGAGAAGATAACTTCTCTGATTTACTCATTTTATGTAGGAACCGGCCAGAACAGGTTCTACCTAGTACTTCAGACAAAAGCTTTCTGTTGCCCTTTGCACAGAGGAGTAAGAATGTTTTTTTTTCTTGTTTCATGACTAAAATAAAACCTGACAAAAATGAAAGTAAAGGATTGTGCTGTGAAAATAGAAATTTATATTCTCTTGTTTTCAGCTGCACTTTTACGTACAAAATGAAACACAGCATCCCTAATATTTTATATGCAGCTTATAAATAACCTGCCTTCTTATATAAGTAGTGTAAACTTCTGACCTGCAGCAAAGAAGGACCACCCAGAAAAGGATCTTGACTGAACTAAAATAAAAGAGAGCTTTGCTCTATTAATTGATTAACAAGATCTTTACCTCACTGGATACCCAAACCGTACATATAAAATACAGTATTTCCTTGATGAACATGATCTTTGTACAAGTATCAACCGGAATGATACCACAAAATCAGACCCTGGAGAAAGAGAATAACTGAATGCGAGAGTCCCTGATTTGAGAGACGCTGAATATATTTGGACACATTAGATATGCTGATGACTGAGAATTCCTGGTATACCTTCAGTTTAACAAGTCAAATAACTGTACTCATGCCTTGCCAGGCTAAGCACTGCAGAAGATAGTAGTATTAGGTTATGACATATTAACAGCAACTTAATACTGAATTTGGGAACTTACTCAACATAATAAGTGCCATAAATGGGATCATCAATTTTCTCCCAGCCATATGGAAGCTCTGAAAAACAAAGAGTAATCTCTCTCAGTAAATGCAGTACAGAATACTAAGATTTCTAGTAACAGATTGTGGATCTTTGCAGGGCGTTGAAGGAAATAACTTGACAGTGAAGTTAGATACAGTGACCAAAGCAAACGTCAAATCTTGAACACGTACCATTGCAGCCACAAGTAGTAGTAACTTGAAAACTGGCATGCAAACATGGATCTCAGTCTATAGAACAACACATTTTAGTTGAACTACTTTATTTGTCCAACAGCTGTGCCAGCCATCAACTGTAGCACATTTTGTATGACATCACCACCGGAGGAAGTGAGAGCATTCTGTTTTCCCAAATAGGTACGCACAAAAGAAGTACTTTGCTTTTTGAGATTTCTAATTTGCTAGGAATTCTGGAAAAGTTGGTGTTGGAGGGGAAAAAAAAAGTTTGCTTTCTGCCACATTAGTGCACTAAGTATACCTAAATGTTCTTTAGAAGCTTCTACTATTTGTATTACTATGATGGCAATTCCACAGCTACCAAATGCATCCTGTTCCAAAGCTTAGTTATATACCAAGGACATAAGAGTGCACAGTAGTGCACGGAAGTATAAACCAAAATAAGATATTAGAGCATCTTCTGTCCTTAAAGCTAATTACATTTTGCACCAATAGAGAAGACATTTAATTGTAAATACCTAAAGCTTTCAGGTATTAACAATCAAAATGTTAAACACATTAACGATCTTGAAAATCAGTCTGCGTCCATGTACAAGCAAACTCTCATATATATCCACATACATCCATAAATACATATTTTATTATTACTCACTCTGAACATTTCAAATAATATTACACTGCAAACAGAACGTCATCTTGTGTTCAAAAAGCACCAGATATGACAAATGTCTCAGTTGACACAAAGAGGGTAAAAACCTCAGTGCTAGATGTGATGACTTTGAGGAACTCACAAAAGCATGGGCATTCCCATCACGCACAGGTATTGATTTCTGTGCACTTAAAGACTATGGCACAATATACAGGCAGCAGTACTGAGATTTTAAAAGGACATTTGATTCTGAAACTCCTTATCTCAGATTTTTTTTTCCTTTTCAAGCTCAGTTACACTTTTAAAGTAGCTTTTTGGAGACAATAAGAGTTCTGAACTAGATAAAGCAGAACTGATGGAGCTTATGCTGAATACAGTTTTGAAACTGGCCATTAAAAAGTACTGGATGATTTGAGCTTTTCTTTTTTTTGTTTCTTTTTTTTTTTTTAAGTGACACTATGAAGAGATGACTATTGGTGTGCTATAACAGGAAAACAGAAAAGTAAAGCCCAACTCGCAACAAGGAGATTAAAGTGTTAAAAAAACAACGTTAAGAAATTGTTTCACTTCTCCTTGTTACTTCTTCACTGCTACACATCTGTAATATCTTATTCTGTCTTGAGTGAACCCGCTGAGGCTACTGTGGTCTTCATGCCTCACTGCCCTCAGATGATGTTCCTCCTCAGCCCTTCCCAATATTGCAATGTAGTATACAGAGACTGGCAGGTGAGGAACTCCATAAATTTGTAACAAAAAACTCAAGGCCTTCCACGAGCAAACAATGCACACTCACAGCCCAGAAGGTCAATCACATCCTGGGCTGCATCAAAAGAAGCGTGGCCAGTAGATCCGCTCTGCTCTGGTGAGATCCCACCTGCAGTGCTGTGTCCAGCTCTGGAACCCTCAACAGAAGAAGGACATGGACCAGAGGAGGCTACAAAAATGATCAGAGGACTGGAGCACCTCCCCTATGAAGACAAGCTGAGAGAGTTGGGGTTGTTCAGCTTGGAGTAGAGAAGACTCTGGAGAGACCTTATAGCAGCCTTCCAGTACTCAAAGGGAATCTGTAAGAAAGATGGAAGCAACCTTTTTAGCAATATCTGTTGCAAATGAACTAGGGCTAAAGGTTTCAAACTAAAAGAGGGTAGATTTAGACTTGATATAAGGAAGAAGGTTTTTTTAATGAGTAATTGTAGAACATTGTAAGCTTCACTCATGGAGTGAAGAAGTTTTTTTCTTTAGTTTAAGCAGAATTTCCTGTGTTTCAGTTTGCACACTTTTCCCTCCTGTCCTGTCACTGGGCACCAATGATTCCATCTTCCTTGCACCTTCCTCCAGGCATTTGTTTAGACTGATAACCTCCCCCCACAGCCTTCTCTTCTCCAGGCCAAGCAGTCCCAGCTCTTCCAGCCTTTCTTTATATGAGAGAAGCTCCAATCCCTTCATCATCTTGGTGGTCTTTCACTGGACTCTCTCCTGTATGTCCATGTCTCTTTTGTACTAGGGAGCCCAGAACCGGACCCAGAACTCCAGCTGTGTCTCACCAGTGCTGAGTAGAGGGGAAGGATGGTCCTTCTGCTGGCAATGCTCTGCCAACTGCAGCCCAGTAGCCTGCTGGCCTGCTTTGCTGCAAGGGCATGTCAGAGCCTCATCATCAAGTCACCAAGCATGAGAAAGCCCAGGTGCTGCTCTTTTCAAACCTGCCCAGAACTTTAGTAAAATCTGTAGGAAATTGACCCTGCAATAGTTCCTACAAAGCCCCGTACAACCCGAGACAAGATTGCAATGTAATCCAGAAATATTCAAAAAGAAAGCAGCTGATGCACAAATCTCATATGGCTCCTACAGTAAGATTTGTTCCCAATGCATGAAAGATAAATCGCAATAATTTGCTATGAAAAAAGATGCATTTACATAACCTTATGACACAGAATATATCTAAAATATTAGTTTAAATACTATATATACAATTTATTTTCCTGTAACCTTGAAAGGTTTTCTTCCCCTAATTAATTTAATGCTGCTCTCATACCTAGCCATCTAAGATTACATCCCCTTAAAGTGTGGCAGGTACTGGTAAAATCTGTATGTACTTAAAAATACACATAAGCACACACATACACACACAGAGAGATGTGTGCCTAGGTTGCTTTCCCAAACCCTATTTTCTGACTATGAAATTAAAATAATAAAGTAGTTGTTTTGCCCAAATTTTTAAGTATCTTTCTGTAGATATATATGCTTTAAAGTGTATAGATTCAGAGGACGCATTTTATTCTACATACGTATGAAAATGTGAAGTAATTTGAAGATTTACTATTAACCTATTGGCCTATTTTTTCCTAATGTAATGATGCATAACTGTATTTATGAACTGGCACAACTATTGAGAAGGCAAATGGCAAATCCCATTTTCTAGTGTAAAAGTCTGTAAAAATTTAATGAATTGGACATATTATGAAGAACTCACTTTTAAATGCATGAATTGAACCACTGATTATCTAACATCATAAAATAGTCATGGGTTCAGAATAAGGGAAATAAAAAATTACCTTCCTGTACCATAATAGATATAAACCCCTTGTCAGGGTAGGCTCTAATTTCATTTTTCTATTTGAGATCCAGCCTGTAAGCTATGTTTAATTAAAATTCTGTGTTGACCAGTAAAATGGAATTGCTAGAGCACAAACTCTAAGGCCCCTGCACTTCCTGAAAGTACGTCATATAAGGTTAGTGTAGTGTAGCTTACTACTGAGCTTCTGTTAGAAGAATCTTCTGCTATATTTGCTTTCAGGAGCATTGTGATTATTTTTCATTGCATTAAATAGTGGCATCTATTCAATTTTCCTCTGTTGAAATGAAAGATTACAGGATGGGAATATTTTAGTGCTTCATAAAGTAGGAAACTAAGCATTTACCAAAATAGTGGTGAGGGCATTACTGTTTCTCTTTTTCGTTCCACTGTGTCTCATGATGATCATTAGGGGTGAGAATGAACAGTAAACATTTATAAAAGAAAATTGTTACAAAACACTTGTCAAAGATATTACTGTTGGCTACTATGATTTGAATGGAATGGGAATGGACCTATAACTTATAGCAATCTCTGGTATTCAGAGATTCATATCCAGTTCGTGTAACCAATAGTTTCATGGTTACTGAGCTATATTTGAAGTTTACATTTGCATGAGTTCAACACTTCTATCATCTATGTCTTTCAATTCTATTGACTCCAGAAGGATTTCTCTGTATAAAAGTCCTTAATGTCTGACATTTCTTTCCAAAAGATCTCCTTCTATAATCAAGTGGAGGGCCTGCTCAGGAACATTTGTAAAATCATCTTTTAAAAATCAGTAATTGTGCAGCATTTGACAATGTTGATACTACAAGTGGATTGAAAGGTGTTGGATAATTTGTAGTGTGTATACATGCTCCAGATTTCACATTTCATGCTTTATTCCTTACCAGAGAAGCAGTATCTAGCTAACCCTGTAGCAGCCATCACAAAATAAAAATGATCAAAAAGGTATAGCTGATACTAACACACTTTGCTCACTATGCATCTGGGTAAGCTTTTAAATGTAGAAGAAGATGAATTTCTAAAAGTTAAATGTCCAATGGTAACAAAAGACATGGTATTTTCAAAGAAAAAAAGAAAGAAGGAAAGAAGGAAGGAAAAAAAAGAAAAGAAAGACTAATATGAATTCAATAATCAATGGTAATGCCTTCTCATCAGAGAATGTTTATGCTAATGGTCCAGATACTCTTATTCTCTATTTTGAAAGCTGTAGTGTTTCAGAATGATTTTTGATGGTGCCACTTAATCTTCTCTGGGGATAGAGGAAGGAGTACATTTTGGATCTCAGTATGGCAAGATGAAAAAGCGTATTACCAAACCCAAAGACAAATTTTTCTGAAGTTTATGAAGTATAATCTATGTTAGAGTCATAGGAACCTATTAAGGTTTCAGAACAAGAGCCAGCATTGTCTCATTACCTTACTGACAGGTTGGAAAGAAAGATGAGAGCATATTTCTTGAATCAGCTGCAATCAAAATATTTATGTAGTTCAAAAGAATGTAGTATGAGAGAGAAAAAGAAAATATAATCCCTGCTGTTACTGAAAATGCTGTCAATAAGGATGTGGAAGCTGTAGAAGTCAGCATGAGTTCAGTTCATCTGCCTTGTTAACA